AGGGGTCTGAGACCAGGAATGGTGGGAGTTGAAGTCCAAAACACCTGGAGAGCCCAACTTTGCCCATGCCTGACCTATATATACACTGAAGAGAAGGAGGAAGAGGAGCAGCCCCTGTGAGAAGGAGGCGCGCCAACTCCACTCCGAGTTTTCCCTTTCTCCCGTCTCTTTCCCCCCGCGGGCTTTCCTTTCCTTCCCCCGCAGCCACAAACACCACACTCCACGTTGGAAAGAAAAAAGGGGGGGATTTCAAAAGGGGCAGCGCTTCAGGCTGTAGTAGAAAGGGGGGAGGCATGAAGAAGAAACGGGTGTAGAGGGGAGGCGCAGAGGCTTGGTTTCTGGGTTGCTGGGAGCCTCCCGAGCTGTATGGCCATGTTTCAGAAGCATTCTCTCCTGACCTTTCGCCTGCATCTATGGCAGGCATCATCAGAGGTTGAGGGGTCTGTTGGAAGCTAAGCAGGTGGGGTTTATATATCTCTGGAATGCCCAGGGTGGGAGAAGGAACTCTTGTCTGCTGAATGTTGCCATTGGCCACCTTGATTAGCACTGAATAGCCTTGCAGCTTCAAGGCCTGGCTGATTCCTGCCTGGGGGCAGGCCCGTAGCCAGGATTTCGTTTCGGGGGGGGGGGGGCTGAATTTTTTCAGGGGGGGTTTCGGGGGGGGGGGGGGGGCTGAGTCTGAGTGAAAGAGGGTCTACCCTAGCAAAACTTTTGTATCATTACCCCAATACCCCCATGCATATGGGATATATTGAGTATGGTGATCAGATCATGATATGAATAAACATAACAGTTTAAATAATGTACCAGTAAGGCCTTTTCGCGAACCACCATGAGAATTTCGGGGGTGGGGGGGGGTCCTTTGTTTGGAGGTGTTAGCTGGCCCTGATTGTTCTTATCTGGATTTCCCTTGTTTTTGAGTGTTGTTCTTTTCTTTACTGTTCTGATTTTAGAGTTTTTTAAATACTGGTAGCCAGATTTTGTTCATTTTCATGGTTTCTTCCTTTCTGTTGAAATAGTCCACATGCTAAAGAGCAACCCTCATCACACTTGAGTATTTTTCCAAGTGTTAATGTTGCAGTTGGCCACCTTGATTAGCATTGCAAAGCCTGGATGCTTCCCTGGTGGAATCCTTTGTTGGGAGGTGTTAGCTGCCCCTGATTGATTCCTGTCTGGAATTCCCCTGCTTTCTGAGTGCTGCTCTTTTATTTACTCTCCTGATTTTAGGGTTTTTAATACTAGTAGCCAGGTTTTATTCTTTTTCATGCCCCCCCCCCTTCTGTTGAAATTGGCCACAGTAAATAAAGAGCAACACTCGGATGGCCTCATCACACTTGAGCACTTTTCCACTCTAGTCCACTTTAAATGCTGGGACTGCCTCCTGTGGAATTCTGGGCTTATAGTTTAGGGAGGCCCAGGGCTTCTCTGGATGAGCAGTTTAAATGGCCCTTTGCTAAATTACAAACCCCAGAATTCTGCAGGAGGCAGTCACAACATTAAATTGGATGAAAGTGAGAAAATGCTTAAGTGTGATGAGGTCCTCAAAAAGCAGGAGAATTCCAGACAAAAATCAATCGGGGCGAGCTAACACCTCCCAACAAAGGATTCCTCTAAGCAGCAACCAGCCAGGCTTTGATGCTACAAGGCTATTCAATGCTAATCAAGGTGGCCAGTTGAAACATTCACACTTGCCTCAAGCAGATAAGAGTTCTCTCTCCCACCCTGGACATTCCACAGATATATAAACCTCACTGGCTAGTTTCCAACAGACCTCACAACCTCTGAGGATACCTGCCATAGATGTGAGGAAAACGTCAGGAGTGAATGCTTCTGCAACATGGCCATACAGCTTGGAAGACTCACAGCAACCCAGTAATTCCAGCCATGAAAGCCTTCAACAACGGCTGGGTTTCTCTTCAACCCCATCAAAGGACTGAAAGCAATGGAGTTTTCCCTCAGAGCCTAGTTGAGTTACAGTTGCAGATATTTATTTATTGTGTCAGAAGCGAGTTGAGGATACAGTTAAAATGCATTTAGAAACACAAACAATGTTTTAAAAACCTTGGCATTGTGCTAAATGTCCTTTGGCCAGAAGCTGACCACTTGGAGTGTCTCTGGTGTCGCTGTGAGAAGATCCTCCATTGTGCATGTGGCAGGGTTAGGTTGCATTGTAGGAGGTGGTCTGTGGTTTGCTCTTCCTCACACTTGCATGTCATGGACTCCACTTTGTAGTCCCATTTCTTAAGGCAGTGGTTCCTAATCTGTGGGCCATGAGGATGAAAATCTGGTCCATGAGCCTTCTTCCTCTTTATTTATTTTATATTATTTGATTTATTTTATTTCCTCTCCTTTCTCACCGCCTGCCACTCCTTCTCTGTCATTGACCATGTTCTTTATCAGAAACTAGAGCTGATGTAGTCTATCCAATGATATTTTCTGAACAGAATCTAAAGTTGACCAAAAACTGATTTGTAAGAGTGGTGGTCCCTGGTCAAAGGTTGGGAACCACTGTATTAAGGTTAGCTCTGCATCTCATGGTGCCAATCTGTTCACTGCCTTCCAGGTCACCCAGTCTTCTTGGTGACCTGGGGGGGGGGGGTCTTTCATCTGGTATCAGCCATAGGTTGAAGTTCTGGGTTTTAGCCTGCCACTTTTGGACTCTCGCTTGCTGAGGTGGTCCTGCAAGCATCTCTGTAGGTTGATTTAAGGCAGGGATCCTCAAACTTTTTAAACAGAGGGCCAGGTCACAGTCCCTCAAACTGTTGGAGAGCTGGATTATAATTTAAAAAAAAACCCATGACCGAATTCCTATGCACACTGCACTTAACTTATTTGTAGGCAAAAAACCTCTTAAAAACAATACATAATTAAAATGAAAGATTTTAACAAATATAAACTTATTAGTATTTCAATGGGAAGTGTGGGCCTGCTTTTTGCTGAGGAGAGGATTGTTGTTGTTGTTGTTGTGTGCTTTCAAGTCGTTTCAGACTTAGGTTGACCCTGAGTGAGGGCCGGGTAAATTACCTTGGAGGACTGTATCCGGCCCTCGGGCCTTAGTTTGAGGACCCCTGCTCTAGAGTCTAGTGAGATGAAGTCCCAAGACCAACCCTTTTGGGATCCAAACGTTTCTCATCTTTCCTTCACTTTCTGCCCCTGAAAGAGAAGAGGAAGGGGAGGAAAGGGCAACAAGGGGAGAACAATCCCTATGAGGAGCGGCTTAAGGAGCTGGGCATGTTTAGCCTGAAGAAGAGAAGGCTGAGAGGAGATATGATAACCATGGATAAATATGTGAGAGGAAGCCACAGGGAGGAGGGAGCAAGCTTGTTTTCTGCTTCCTGGAGACTAGGACGCGGAACAATGGCATCAATCTTCAAGAAAGGAGATTTAATCTGAACAGTAGGAAGAGCCTCCTGGCTGTGAGAGCCGTTCAGCAGTGGAACTCTGCCCCGGAGTGTGGTAGAGGCTCCTTCTTTGGAAACTTTTAAACAGAAGTTGGATGGCCATCTGTCAGGGGTGCTTTCAATGCAATATTCCTGCTTCTTGGCAGGGGGTTGGACTGGATGGCCCATGAGGTCTCTTCCAACTCTATGATTCTATGTTGTTGTTGTTGTTGTGTGCTTTCTTTTTAAAAAATATATTTTTATTGTTTTATCATTGTTATTACATTTGTTATACATTTGTTTATAGCAGTTACATATTATTCATCACCCTCTTTAACATATAATCTTATTATTCTGCTTAAGCATTTTCCCCCCCCCTTTTTTTCCCACTACTGTGCTCCCCTCCCCCATTTCAAGACACAACTTTTACGTATCATCTGTCCAAAATCTCATTTCTTCTTGTGGCGGTAACCTTCTTTGTTGTGTGCTTTCAAGTCCTTTCAGACTTAGGTTGACCCTGAGTGAGGGCTGGGTAAATTACCTTGGAGGGCCTTATTTGGCCCTCTGGCCTTAGTTTGAGGACCCCTGCTCTAGAGTCTAGAGGCAGTGGTTCTCAACCTGTGGGTCCCCAGTGTTTTGGCCTACAACTCCCAGAAATCCCAGCCAGTTTACCAGCTGTTAGGATTTCTGGGTGTTGAAGGCCAAAACATCTGGAGACCCACAGGTTGAGAACCACTGGTCTAGAGAAATGAGGTCCCAAGACCAACCCTTTTGGGATCCAAACGTTTCCCGTCTTTCCTTCATTTTCTACTCCCGAAAAAGAAGAGGAAGGGGAGGAATGGGCACCGAGGGGACTTGGGGAGAATCGCCCACCCTGCTCTTCCCATATTAGAAAGTTTGCCCATGCCTGAACTAGTAGTTAGTAGTAAAGAGAAGGCTATGAGAAAAGTGTGAAGACGCGGGGGATTTATTTTCATCTTCCTCCCGTACTCCCCCGCTCCCCAAAAAAGGACTTTGGAGTGGGATGAGGAGGGAGAGCTGGAGAAGCCAAGGAGCCCAGCCTTGAGGGCTGCCTCTCATCGGTAGAAAGGGAGCCAAGAAGAAGAGCAGCGCGTGGAGGAGAGAGGCGGGGCCTGGGTGGTGCATCTGCCTCTCTTTCCTCCTCCTCCTCTTTGGGAAGGCTGGGCTTTCCCTTCAGCGCCTCGTTGCCTTCAGAGTCGCGGCGCAAAGCCAGGCGAAGTTGAGCAAACAGGAAACGCAGCGGCCGCCTCAACACTCGTTGCTCTGATTCATTGGGTCCTGGAGGAGGAGGGAGGAGAGGAGAAGAAGAAGAGGAGAAGAGGAGGAGACGGGGTGGCTGTCTCCTGCAGCTCCTTGTCCGGAGAAGCAGCCCCAAAGGACGGCTCTCCCTGTCTCCAGGACAAGGCTGGAGGCCCTGGGGGTCTCCTCGGAGTGACAAGTGCTTTGGGGGGCTTCGCAATATGAAGGAGCAGCCCTCATGTGTGGGCACTGGGCAGCACCATCCCCTTCCCGCCATGGCCGGCTTTGGCAGGATGGACCCTGGTAGCAGCCCCGTCAAGCGCCTCCGGACTGAGTACGCCTTTCCCTATCTCTTCGCAGAGGAGGCCTACCAAAAGCTGGCCAGCGAGACCCTGGAGGAGCTGGACTGGTGCCTCGACCAGCTGGAGACCCTGCAGACCCGACACTCCGTCAGCGAAATGGCCTCCAACAAGGTAGGACCCTGCACACCCTTTGCACACACACACCGCGTTCCTGGGCTTCTAAACCAGGCATGGGCCAACTTGTGCCCTCCAGGAGCGGCTGAGGGGGGAAAGGAAAGGGCCTGAGGCTGTTAGGAATGGTGGGAGTTGAAGTCCCAAACCCATAGCGGACCCAAGTTGGCCCATGCCCACTCTCCACTGTACCATGAATATGGTTTGACACTCCTTTAGCTGTCTTAGCTCCATGCTGTGGAATCCTAGCATCTGGAGTTTGGTCTTATTTGACAGAGAAGGCGAAAGCCCTTATAAAACTACAACTTTCTTAGTCTTGAGCCACAGCAGGTAACATGTTGTCAAACTGCATTCATTCTATGGGGTAAATATAATACACCCAAAGTCATTTTGGGCAGGCAACATCAGGAGAGAACGCTTCTGGAACATGGCCATACAGTCCAAAAAACTTACAACAATCCTTTAACCAGGTACTTTCTGAGGAAAGTGCATGGAAGGTTACAGCTTTTGTATACCACGTTTACCTATTTAAAACATGCATGTGTGTTGGATGGATTGTGGCTATTTAAGAAAAGAAGGTGGACATGTACATACAAGCATTGTAGTGCTATCGGAGGTTTCATGGCCAGAATCACTGGGTTGCTGTGAGTTTTCGAAACTCTATGGCCATGTTCCAGAAGCATTCTCTCCTGATATTTCACCCACATCTATAGCAGGCATCCTCAGAGGTTCTGGAGTCTGTTGGAAACTAGACAAATAAGGTTTATATATGTCTCGCTGTCCAGGGTGGGAGACAGAACTCTGGTTTGCTTGAGGCAAGTGTGAATGTTGTAATTGGCCACTTTGATTAGCATTGAATGGCTTTGCAGCTTCAAAGCCTGCCTGGTTGCTGCTTCAGGGAATCTTTTGTTGGGAAGCTGACCCCGATATATTGTTGTCTAGAACTCCCCTGTTTTGAGAGTGTTGCTCTTTTTTTTTAACTGTCCTGATTGTAGAGTTCTTTAATAGTGATAGTCAGATTTTGTTTATTTTCATGGTTTCCGCCTTTCTGTTGAAAATGTCCACATGCTTGTGGATTTCAATGGCTTCTCTGTTTAGCCTGACATGGTAGAGTTTCCAACAGACCTTTCAAACAATGAAGGATGCCTGCCATAGATGTGGGCAAAATGTCAGGAGAGAATGCTTCTGGAACGTGGCCATACAGCCCGAAAAACTCACAGCAATCCAAGCATTGTAGTGTTGAGCTATTGAAGTGGCCCAGACAAACTTTCTTTTGGTTACCATCCTAAGGTGTTCCTCTCAATGGTGGGACTCCATTCCCTTTAAAAAATGAAGTGTATCTGCCTGAAAGTACAATTCTTATTTTATGTTTGCGCCTGTGAGCATTTGTGAGCTCTTTGGAATATTTGTTTTGAGGCAACTTCTGATGAATTTCCATAAAGATTTCACTTCTGTGCAGAATTCTAAAACTTTGGAGAGAGAGTCTAAAAATTACAATTCCTTTTTGTAACATTGTAGTTGAGCATGAATGAGGAAGGGGTAAAGACTTTAAAAAATACCATTGGCCCTCTGTATTCACGGATGCTGCAGCCATGGATTCAACCATCAACAGTTTGAGAATACATTTTTTAAAGCTTCATAAACAAACCTTAATTTTGCCATTTTATCTAAGGGACTCAACAGCCCAGAGATTTTGGAATCCACAGGAGTTCTGGAACTAAGTGTTAGTGGATACCAAGGGCCTGCTATTGTTCAAATATCCAAGATCCACAAGTCTTCATAGATATGATGGAAGTTTAAAGGAAGTGATATACTTCAGGGTTCAAACCTTCATAACTACCTAAACTTAAATTGTTCACCAAAGTGCTGTCATTTAAAAAGAAGATGACCGAAGATGGTGTTTGGGAACAACAGTTGCATTCAACAAATTACTCAGGCATTTTTGATTTAAAGAGTAGGAGTTGTGGTTATGCTATGATAACTTTAAAGTGTAGGAGTTGTGGGTATGCTATGATAAACAGAACAGAAAGATGCAAGAAAGACCTTATGTGCAGTAAAAAGAGTGTTCCTCTCATATAAGTGTACATGTAGAAAAAAGACAGAGTAGGAGATACTAGCCCTTGCAGATGAGATGAGAAGCTGTGCACACTGATTTGATAAGTTCTGTTGATTTAAATGGACTTACTCATGAGTAACTAGTTTGTATTTTCATCACTTTCTAAGAACATCCAGAGAAAAATGATACACAACACAATCACTACACACTACAGTTCTTATGATCTGGTCATCAACCATAATAAAGTTTACTACTACCACACTACAGTACAAGGACCAAGACCTATCTCACACCTCTTTTTAGGCTGCAAGCAGAACTCAGTTGTGATAAAGTAAATTTAGAATAGCACACTGTCATATATTTGTGGATTATTATTATTATTATTATTATTATTATTATTATTATTATTATTATTGCCATTTTTCAGTTAGCTGCTTCTAGTATTCTCTGTCAGCTTTCTCAATTTATCATCTCCACTTGAAGAGTTGTCTGTGAAAATAGTAAGACAAGTGACCAGTATTTTAGTTACAAGCCTCTGGAGCATATTTTTTTTGTTTACTTGAGTTGATTTATATGACACACTTCAAAGAGACCAGAGTAACTAATAACAGAGGGACCAAGGTGCTGGAGACACTGAATCAGTCAATGCTTTCTTTCACATCCTTTGCAGTAGGTGAGAGAAGGTTTTGAAGAGATAGCATTTTTTTTTTGCTAACAACATATTATTTTAAAATTATGTAGTCCTGGTGTCAGAGCCTGTGTTGGTGTAGTAGCTAAGAGTGTTGCACTAGGAGACAGGCTTCAAATCCCAGTTTGGTCATAGAAACCCATTGGTTAATCTTGAACAAGTAACACTTTGCAGCCGAAAACCATGATAGGTTCACCTTAGGGCAGTGCTTCTCAACCTGTGGGTCCCCATATGTCTTGGCTTTCAACTCCCAGAAATCCTAACAGTTGGTAACTGGCTGGGATTTCTGGGAGTTATAGGTCAAAACGCCTGGGAACCCTCAGGTTGAGAACCACTGCCTTAGGGCAACTGTATGTTAGACTGACTCCTAGACACAGAACAACAATGTCTGGGTTTATTGTTTCTTTTTAGTGACCTTGGGCAATTTACTTGTGGATCTGGTTTCACTAAAGTACAGCAGAAGCTTTCAATATCTTAGCTATATGCTAAGTGCACACAAAAGGCAGTTCCACACATTTCAAAAGTATGACCCGGGATTTGCCACAGAGTCCTTTCAGTATGTTGTTGCAGCCAGTCCCAGCTCAACACATATGTTTTGCACTTATATAATTGTAACATTCCCCACTTTAGATTTCTAGGAAAACACTTAAAATGTGGATACAAAACCTCCAGACATTGATGGCTGAACTTAATTACTTGGGAAAGAAAAAGAAAATTCCAAACTAAAATGTCTGAGAAGTAGCCTCATTTGTTCATAGTAAGGGCTTGTTTGATTCTCTGCCCTCCAATCATCAAAAATGTGTATTTCATGTTCCTTTTAAATCAGGCATGGGCAAACTTCTGCCCTCAAGGTGTTATGGACTTCAACTTCTACAATTCCTAATAGCCGGTAGACTGTTAGAAATTGTGGGAGTTGAAGTCCACAACACCTGGAGGGCAGAAGTTTGCCCATGCCTGATTTAAATGTTCTACTGAGAACTACTTCATCGACCTATTGAACTTAATTCACATGTTATATGATATGTGTATGGTGCTACAAATGAGGATGTTGGTTCATAGATTATTTCTTTTCAAATGCATACTTCTTTGGAAACTAAAAAGCACGTTGTTGTTGTTGTTGTTGTTGTTGATTGCCATCAAAGCAACTTGAATGTAAAGGAGACCTATGGATGAGATTTCCAAGTCATTCTGCTTAGGTCTTGCAAATTCAGGGCTATGGGATCTATCCAACTGTAATATGTTGTTTTTTTTCCCTTTTCTTACTGTCTTCCGTTTTAATTAACTAAAATGTACTTTAAATATTAGCAGTTAATTTCCTTGAACAAAATTATTTAGCAGTAGTACATTGTTCATTACACTTTTTCCTGTATCTACAAAAGCATTTGCAAAGGTGTATTGAATTTTGCATGTGTTCAGTAGTTGAGAAACAGCCAGTAGTAGATACTAGGGAAGGAATTCTTCTTAAGCGTTCTGTTCCTCCTTTTACTGTAGAATTAGGATCATACAGCCAAGGTTTCTCTTATGAGTTGTACAATGGCTGAGTTGCCATAGCCACTCTGAAGGTCAGCGAGAATGATGCACTCTCTTACATCAGCACTGAAAATGTGCACTGCAGACATACAATAATTGGTTCTATGTTATCCATAAAATGGGAGTGGGGATATTTGAATGTCTTTATTGCTGATTACAAGCAGTGTGTCAGTCACTTGATGCAATGCAATCATATGTTAGAAATAGTTAGAATTTACTCATTAAGAAATATGTTTTGAGGCTGCAGCCCAAATTCTAACAAAACCCCATATTCAACAACTTGTTCCTATATGGTTCTTATATATTTGAATCTCCTTGATGGCTGATCTTGGGCACACTGCACCAGTTTTTGGATGCCAGTCCTGAAGAAGTCTGATTTATAGATTTAGCATTTTTCAAAATCTACACAGAAAAAAAAGAAATCTTCTTGCATACCTCCCTTCCTTATTGGGAAGTCAGTGTTATAAAGTCTCTGAAAAGTAACTTAAGGGGACAAAGGTGTGTGTATGTGTGCCTTCAGGTTGCTTCCCCTTTCGTTCAAAATAAAAGCAAGCATTGTCTATTCATGAGAGAACATCATTCAGAGCTTAGTTTGTTGAATATGTGCATATGTGGGTATATATGTGTATAAATCATGTGCTTAAATGAAATACATTCAAAAATAATATGAATGCCTTTGATTTGTAAAACACAGCCACACAAAAAATGGAGTTTGCTCTTGTGTAG